TGGATATTTGTTAATATAAAAATTTATTTGTAGAAATTATATCATATATTGCACATTGTGTAATGTAGTTTTTAATTTATCCACATTATACTGTATGTATCTAAAAATAATAAATTGAAAAAATAGCTATAATAGATTTATTTAACAATCATATTAAAATGATAATTTAATAAAACAACTAAAATATAATAATAATAAACAAGAATTAATTATTTGCATATATAATTTTGTCTAAATAAACTAATTAATACATAAATATTTCTTATTTATTTTTCTATAATAATAATATAAGTATACAATTATTGTATTTATATCATTATAAAAATATTTCAATACACAAGTATATATCACTGTATTTTTTTAGATATATTTCAATGGATCCATTCATATCACGTTTAAAATTGGACTGAATTAGGTCGACATAAAATAACATGATCATTTAACTTAACGTGTAATGCATATCAAATTAATTATATTTTTATTTATAACTTAGAAACTAAAAAATTAAATTTTTATATTATGTCTATTATGTTAATTTTGAAGTTTTTATTTTTAGTATTTATTTTATAGTGTTAAATAAAATTATTATGTAAGATAACTGCGTGATAATTTTTGATTTTGATTTTTATATATTTTTAGATAGATTATATATGATTGCTAAATCATTAATATTGCAATTAGTATGATAGTCAAAAAAAATAAATAATAATCACACGGAAGTAAATTTATGTATTTAAACAAAAAACTACTCCACACACACACACACACACACACAAACATATTGATATTACATGTAAATTGTAGGCATTTAAGTCAAAAGTGTTATTATATTTTCATTTATATATATATATAACATAAAATCGATTGTAAAATCACTTATTCTAAGCAAAACCTTATGACATACATGTATGATATGATAGGTATTTATATAAACATATTTATCTATATATATAAAATAGTATTTATTTGCTTTATATTCTTTAAGTTATAGTTTATAAAATAATTTTTTTAGCTATTGATTTATTTTATAATATCGATAAATTATATATTATTCAATATTATTATTTTTAGTACTATATAACACAAATATTAATATTAATTCATTTTATTTATATTAAAAATGTTTTTAAAATGTATTTTATGTTTTGCCTTGTTAACTTATAGCATAAAATAATAATTGTTTTTTATAATAATAAAAATAACAATTTATATTTAAAATAGTTTTATTATTTGAAATCTTATATAATATCTATATTAAAATTATAATATTTATAACCATTTACATAATAATAATATGCAAATCAATAGTAACACTATTAGAAATCGAGAGCAAAATTAGTAATTATTAAAATATAGATATAATAATTAAATAATTAGTAATAAAGAATCGATAAATGACATAAATAAAAGTTAATTTATTATGTAAATTATAATAACAAACTTTTTTGTTATTTAGTATTTACTTATTATATTGTATTTAACTATTATTAATTTTAATTTTACACTAAAACAGTAATATTAGTATTATTTTTTTCATTTTAAATTTTTGATAGTCACAAATATTTTGCTAATTATGAAATATTACTGTTTAATAATGTAAATATTAATGGTATTTAATATAAGATATAACATAATATATATATACTATATACCGGTATTTTTTGTATATGTATAATAATAATTTTATTGTATAATTTGTATTTGTAAATATTTTATATTTTTTGTTATATAAATAGTAACATGCAAAAATAAATGCAAATATACAGATACTATCAAATTTATATATTAAATGTATACAAATTGCTATTAAATAATTTATATGTGTTAACTGAAATCATAATAAATTATTTTTAAAAAATTCACTTTTATAATATTAAAAGTACTATTCTTTAGATTTAAATTATTAAGCTAATTTAATAAATAATTTAATTTTTAAATAAACTAATATTTACTAGTTTTTAATTATGTGTTTAACAAACAATGAAAAATAGTATTACATGTTTTTTTGCATTAAAAATAGTTGTCATAGAGATTAAAATCATTTAAAGCTAAAAAATGTATAACAATTTCAAACTAAAGCAAAGGCTACAAAAATAATATATTCATTACGAACTCATTTTCAATAAAGTAAAGGTATTTCTAAAGATATATTAATACAGTATTATATAAACTCTATTGTATTTTATTGTATTTAATTAACAAACTAATAAAATGTTTAATTGATTGATTTATATTTACTTACATTATTACAAAATTGATAGCTATAATGYCATTGTGTTTCGGAGTATAAAACTGGGCTTAATATAAAATTAATTTTTTATATGTTGTCATAATTTTAAAAATAACACAAATTTTGATTGGTCAAAATCTCTATACCCAATAAATTATATCAGATATATTGATTTGAACTATTTATATAATTATTGTAAAAAATATTTTTAAAAACATGTTTTTTTTGTTGGTTGAGATTAGCATAATGTTGTGACACTAAAACAAATTATATAACTAAACGTTTCAAATGGCATAATAGACTGAATATAATAAATATAATTCACTTCAAACATAGACTTTCAACACAGAATATTCTGTATATTCTATATTACATAAAATTTTATGTCATTATTGTTGTCCCAAATAACTAAAGTTTGACGCTTGCGTTCACTACAAACACACAATTATATATACCTTATATTGATTTCTCTTAATTCTCTAAATAGTTATTAAATTATTAGCAAAACTTTTAACAGAATAATAAATGCATTAATTTTTAGTTTTTATAATTTATTATAATAATTGTTATTATACTATTATAATATCAAAAGCAACAAATAAAAGTTTCAGTTTACTGTAGAACTATAATAAAAAATTAATAAATTTATACTTAACTTTTGTTATTATAAATTATATATAAATAATAAAAATCAGAAATTTGTTACAGATTTTGCAATTCTAAATATTTAATTTATAAATAACTTGTAAAATGTAATTTATATTAAAATTTTAGTTTAGAATAATTTAATTTTTAAAAGTATAATTACAAATATATAAGAAATATAATGTCACAGATATTTAATATAATTGTAAATTGAAACACAAGACATAACATTCACTTTATATATAATATACGGTRTATATATAAAACATTATTATAATTTATTATAATCTCATGACTTATCAATTTAAAATAAATTTTATTATTATAACAACAAAAATTGCATTTTTAATAATATGCGATTTCTAGCCGTTATTTAGCAAATTAAAATCCCTTCAAATGTGTTAAAAATAATATGAATATAATACTAGTTATTGTAATTTTCTTATATTCATGTTATTTAGTTTTTGCATTTACGGTAAATTTGATATAATTATTTTTAAAAATTATTACAGTTTAATATATTTAAATATTTTAATCAMTCAAAGGATACCATTAAAAACTCTTTGTGTGCGTCAAACATATCAATTGATTCCGCGTTTATCAATAAGTCAGACAAAGATATCATTACATTGATCTCAAACAATAACATCATTGAGATGACAGTTAATCCACAAAAAGATATTTTTGAATTGAAACAAATAAGACAATTGAATGACTTGTCTCCTGATATCAAAAGTCCCATAAGTGTAGCATTTTATTACAACAGTTCATCACCACAATTGATACTCTATAATGTATTTAATTATAAGATATCTTTAAGCAGTACTCATAACTTTGTTTAATTGTTTAACAGAAAAATTTTAATTATTTTTGGGAATTATATACTAATAAAACACTAAATACAATACCATTAAATACAACAAATAAGTTACCGTTTGAAATACTTGATGACAATTCATTTGTATATAATCTGATTGATGACTACGAAAAAAATGTAATAATTGTTGAAAGATCTTCATTGGATAGACTAACTGTTGATGAGTTATTTTTTAACAATAAGACCGATAAGTATTTTTTATCTATAAATTTGACCACAAATATGATTAAATTGAATACTAGTCTGACAAACGATAACGAAATGCTTTATAAATTAAACGGATATTCAGTTACAGCCGGTTTTATATACAAAAATATTTGGTATTTGTTTGCCGGCAATAATGTGTGTCAAATGGTGGTCAGTGTCGATAAGTGGAACAGTTTCTGTAATATCAAAAATATTAATCAATGGATTGGATGTTCAGTTGATGAGAAACAGTACCTTAACTCTTGATCTTTAAGTTTTTTAAATCAATTTTTAATCAATTGAATGTCTTATTTTCTTTTAGTAACAGAAGAGGAAGTTTCATATTGACTGCAGTGGTGGTGATGTTCGCCAGTATAGTCATACTTATCATTATAATTGCTATGATTTGTTGGTATTATAAACGTGAAAAAATGACAGATTTGGACAGTAATAGAGAAAACCGATATAAAAGAGGTTCGCAATCTGTTAGCACATCCGAAAGCACCGGTAGCTTCTCTGTGTCGTCGATGACGACTATAACTAATAACGATAAATTCAATACCCCTTCCAAATCGTCAGCCAAAAGTAAAACTACAAAAAGTACTTCTGTTACCAAAAATAATTCAATTTCAAAGTAATTTACGGATAAATTTAATTAATTTACTTTTTTTATTAACAATTTTAATTAAATTTTATTTATTCATTCTCTTTATTATTATTATTATTACTTATTATTCTAAATGTTAATTTATAAATACATGTATAATATTACGGTAAAACTTTTTGAATTAATAAAAAAAATAACATTCATTACAATAAAAGCAATAATATTTATACATTTAAATGAGTTTTAAAAGTGGGTGTGTGTGTGTGGATGGGTGTGTGGGTATGGATGGGTGTGTGGGTGTTTGATTAGATTCAATATAATAAATTTGATTTATATATTTTATTTGTGACAATAATTGTCATCAAATTTGAAATATAGGGAAAATATTTTTGAAATATAGTTTATTTAACTTTAAAAAAGTAAAAATAAACGTAAGTTATGTCGTAATTAATGGGGTTTTAAAACGATATTAATTTAATATTTCAATCATTGGTTTGTATTTATTGTTTGTTTGTATCAATTGTTGTGACATTTGTTTCAATCAAAACCATTGATTGATTGATTGTCAGACAAAAACTGTTGCTTTGATTGGTGTTTGTCTTCTTCATCATTGAGACCAACGTTAAGAGTAAACGAATGGGTAGTTCACGCAAACACAAGAAACATAAAGACAAGGATAAAGACAAAGACAAGAATCGGAGTGAGTCGTCGTCAGCCGTGGACAGCAATGCCGGCGAACAGAAACCTCTTCGTCTGGTTCTTAAAGTTCCGACGGCTTACTCGCAACAGTCGAGTCCGAACCATAATAACAGTTCAACGACTGCACCGCTGTTAGCGCCGACACTTGAGCCGCAGGTCGATGTCGATGATAACGAGAGTCCGCCAAAACTAATGGCGTTTAGCGGTCTGTCGCCGCAAACGAGCCAATCGTCGTCAAAGAAACTAAAGAAGAAGAAGTCTAAGAAGAAACACCGAAAACATTCACACCATTCGTCGGGACATCACTCGCGACACAGACATCGATCACATCGACACCGACATCACGGATCTTGTTCTCATCATTTAAGACAATCGCAAGACTCGACACAATCACTTCCTGCACCGATAGCTACGAGCTCTAAGTCGCCGCAAAAAAACGTAAGTTCGTCGTCGTCGAAGAGTTCGTCAAAAACACAGTTCCAGCAATTTCTGTCGCATTTGTATAAACAATTGCAACGAAAAGACATCCAACAGTTCTTCGCGTGGCCGGTCAGTGATATGATAGCACCGGGATATTCATCTATTATATCACAACCAATGGATTTGAGTACATTAAAGAAGAAAGTCGATAACAATGAATACGAGACATTACTTGACTTTAAGGCCGACGTCAAACTGATTTGCGATAATTGCCAGAAATATAACAGACCCGAAACGGTCTACTATAAGGCGGCCACCAAACTATGGCATTACACCAGAAACAAACTGCTCAACAAAGAGTCGCTCATAGATCTTATGAGAAGCTATCCGGGACTAAGCAGTTATGAATTGGGTTTTCATTTTGAAGACCCGAATAATTCACTGATAATGTCAGAAATAGATGGCAATCGAAGTTACGATATGAACACATTGAATGCGATGACAGTTGGCGAGACGTTGCCACTGATTGAAGAGCAACAGGAATTGCAAGAGGCCGAAGAAATGGATGAGGACGGCATGACTCCCGAACAGATTCTCGAAGAGGCCAAGAAAGCGGCACAAATGGCTGCCGATAGGTTGAGTTTGAAGCGACCAAATGGTGCCAATCTTTCATTTTTAAGACAACGAAACGATGGAAGCACTACTCTATCGATTATAGGCAACCATAGTTACGAACAGAATATCAATTTAGAGGCATTAGTTGGCAAACTGGTTGAGGGATCAGCAGCTTTGCCACCGTTTAAAGAGCACGAGTCGAATATTGTTAAACCAATTGAGACTATCAATGAGAGTCCATTTTGTTCATATTTACCACACTATGACACATCCAAAGCAACGTTGAATGAAGAGGACAGCGCTTTATTATTGTCCACTTATGGTGACGACGAGATGGGCTTACAATACGCTGAAAGTATAACACAATTCTCTCAAGAAACGGATTATGTCCTCAATTTAGTCGACTCTTTGCTTGATATACTAACTCACGGACAACACCAGAAGATTGCGATCAAATTACGAGAAAAACAAAAAACATTGGAAAACGAGACTAACGTTAATCAATCAGTAATTACTGAGACATCAATTGATACAAATCTATCAGAAATTGATCTACAACTCAATGAGACGGGCGGTATCATCGGTGATCTTCAATCACTACAATATCAAAGATTATCATCGACAACATTCCCTATAAAACCGTCGGCTGAAGAAGAAAAATTGGCCAATCAGTTGACCACAAAATTGACTGATATTATAGGCACTCACTCCTATCCTAAAGAGGTGACAGATGTCGGATCATTGAGGAAAGCGATGGGAATTAAGATTAAGACAGAAAAATAAAAACAATAACAAAAGCATTATTTAAATATTTTCATAATTTTATTTTTAATGTATTTAAAATATATATATATATCAAAAAAATTTCAACAATAATTATTTATATCAAAATTATACGTTTCATTGATTTGAAATACAGTATGTTTTAACGTTTACTGAAAATGACTAGTATTTTGTTAAATCACAACTTCATAATTATAATATGAATCATCAATAAAATTGAATAAAATTTTTAGTACAATAATACAGTTTTATATTATATTTATAATAAATTTGTAAATTTAATAATAATTATAGTAATAATAACAATCAATAATCTCAATTTGAACCAATATTTGTATCATTTAGATCAACAACATTGCACTTACAAATTGCACAACAATTTGACAGATTGGGTACTGTTTTGACACATTCAATCACTTGTCTACTATTGCTGTCCCAACCGGAACCCGAACCCAATATAATCAGACTTTTTAGTGAACAGGGAATGACTGGCCTAACAGTAAATTCGTAGAGCAAACCTCTGGCTTTTCTTAAGATTAGATTTCCATTCATATTCATAGATAATGTACTGAAATGGAAGAGCGCTTCATCGGAATCCATATTATATGTCATTATATCGTCGCCATAAATGGAGATAATGGCCAAACAGATAAATAAATGGAAGTAATAGGTTTGATAGTGAGACCAACACGACTCCCAGATATGAAGGGCTTCTCTTTCAATGAACTCACGTTTAAAGCAAAGTAAAATCCATCGATGAGTGAACAGTAAGGCCAAGTCGTCAGAAAAATGTTTGATATGTTCGTAGAATTGGGGATACATTAGACGTAACAGTTCCCGAAGCAGTGATAGGTTGTAATCCATATCCGAGTCACGAGGAGAGCATACAAAGCGAGTCAATCGCATCATTGATACGAAACACCAAAATGTATTGATTTCGTCCTGAATTTCGCAGAGAAGGGGTGCCAACAAATCGGACATTCCTTGAGTATAACCAATTTGCGGACAATAAAGACTAAAGTTAATTAAAATTCTCTTCATTTTCATCATATTGTCGTTTTTCTCGTCAGCAAAAAACGGATTTGTCCGGTCAGTGCGCGGCACGTCTTTCTCAACAATACTCTCAACATTTCTCCAAAACCAATCTCTTTGACTTTTATCCATTGTCTCCAACTTTTTACTTATCTCTTCATACTCTATGGCTTTAAGACTATTATCTGATTCTCTTTGCAAATACGTTGAGTCAAATTCGTATCGTTTTAAAAGAAATGGCCAAATATGCCGTCGAAGTGATGGTTCAACTCCAGCAAAGAAAACAGTTTTCCGAAGTAATTGTTCGTCAATTATTTGTCCCATTTCGTTGACATTATCCATCCATTGGTTTTTATCAATTGTCGAATAAAGTTTCTCTTCGGGATGACATTCAAGTGATGTTAGTTTTGGTCGACAAATAGAAAATTGTAAATAATTGGTCTCTTTTGGTGTTTCAGATTTGTCCCAAATGTCTAAACCGTTCAATATATTCAACAGTTTGTCTAAACCTCCGCAATGATAGTGAAATACTTTATAAAACGAATCTCTGCTTACAATAACCAGTTGTCCACTTGTCGTGTCGGCACTCGATGTCTTGCCATTTGAATCGAATTCTTCTCCGCCAAAGAAAACTCTCAGAGATTTTATTTGTTTTAAGTCAACACTGAATGTATTGACAAAGTTGTCGTCATTCGGACTTCTCTTGAGTGGTGTTGTGCGACAGCTTTGGCATCTTCGGACAGGTTTGGCCATCCGTGGCAACGGACTTCTTGTGCTTATATTATTATCACTTGACTTATTCTCAGACATACTATTTCTTCGCTGGATATCATTATCACAACATTGACTAGAATTTGAGAAATTATGGTAATTATTGTTATCGTTGCTAACAATTATGTTCAGATCATAGACGAAAACATCATTAAAGCTATCGCTTCCTCTTAGTGTCTGGTCTTCACTCGTTATTTGCAGATCATTGTAATCACAATCACTTTGAGCGCAATTCTCGTGATTGTTATCAAACTGTTTGGTCAGACATTCATTAGACGTCCATTGAAGACAAAGTGTCCACTTCTGGTCATCACTTGTCTCGTCTTTATTCAGATGTGTTTTGATCGTAAGGTAACCTAAATTGTGGTTCAATTGGTTATTATGTTTGTCTGTCGAGTGAACGCAAACATTGTTTTTGCTGTAAACCACTTCTCCGTTAAACTCTTGGTCTGCTGATTGACAATTAGATCCTATTATTAATGGACTCAAATAATTGGTCGCCTTTTGCCACAAACTCTGCAGTCTTGCGGACATTTGTTCAGACATATGGTCTCTGAAATGGATTTTAAACGGCATTTAAACCAAAACATATTGTCTATAAAATTGAATCAATCATTTTATATTCAATCTTACGTCCTAAAGGATCAGCTGAAGCATTTGAATTGGATTTGTTCATCAAATGATATGATATATTGATGTCTTGAGCTATGGATGTGGTGTGCAATCAATGGTTTGTTTGTATGAGTCGTGCAATGAATGAGTTAATCAATGGTTGCATTCATTCATTGATTCATTCATTCATTGAATGCCTAAACGTTTGACTCAATAATGTTTTTCTAATGTTTTTCTAATGTTTTTGTTGACAACATATGAGTTGAGAGACGACTTGTGTTGAGTCAGCACTCAGTGATGATTGCAATCAAACATTTCGGTAAACTATTATTATTGGCCACAGATTTCATGTAGTGGTCAACTAAACTCTGGTCAACAAACAATTGTAAGACACAATTGAATGTCTGTGTGTGTCGCCAATGACGGCCAACAAGAGCAACGGTGTGACCACCGATTTGATGACTCGGAGTTGGAACAGATGTGACGTCTGTACCAATAGAGATGAGGTCTTCGAGAGCGCCGCACTGTTTGCCCGACACCTCCGAGACGTTCACAGCACCCGTGAAGGCGGCTCTCATGTCTGTCGATACGGACCAAACAATATCTGTTCCTCACTTCCCGTCGAAGGGGTGTCCGATCGCGACTACGAGTCACACATCGCAAAGTGTCACATCTTTCCTAATCAATCGAAAAACAGACAATCGTCTCATAAAGTCTTAAGTCGTGTGAATTCTGGTAAACACGCGAACGATAAACAAGTGATACGCGACCACAACGAGAGACGCCTCCAGAAATCAAATGCATCCAAAAGAAGTCCATTTCCATTGCCTTCAAGTAGTGATTTATTTGAATCAATTAGTTATTCTTCTGAAGCCAAACCAAATGTAATCAGTGATAGTTTGCAAAAATGGAATGTCTATTCTTCGTCACAAAACTTGGCAGCTGTTCTCAACGATCCATCGAAAGCTCGCAGTTATTACGACACCATTTTTACCAAAGAGTGGGGCAATTACTTTGTGGACACACAGACTGTATTGCAAAGTCCTTTCCATCCAAAGATATCTCATTCGCATTTCGATCAATACGTTCGACGAGTGTTGAAACGAAACCGAAGACAACGACTCCGAAGCCGAAGTGAGTCGCTGTCACTTCAGACACAGTCACAGACCAGAAATGTTGAGGCATTTGTTCCGAAAGTTTTCTTTGACTCAGAATTCAATTTAGAAGATATCGACACATTTAAGACAGTCTTATCTTTTTGTACGAACAAAGAAGTGCTTCAAAGTTGTCCGTCTTCTCCAACGAAATGGAATTCAATAGCAAAGGATGCGCTCAAAGAATTGCAGAGAAATTTTTCTGAATATTTAGATGTTGTCGAAGAAAATCTGGCGAAACAAATATCACTTAAGTCGAAAAACTTTTTCCAAGTCATGTCAACGATGGACACTGTGATGGAACAGTTAAAGAGAACTATTAAAGAAGTGACTAATTTACGAAAAAAGTGCCGACAATTAGATGACTGTCTTATAGAACCGAGTCTTAAGAATATTAAATTAACAAAAGCCAGAAATAATTTGAAAGAAGTGTACAATAAAATCAATTTAATGGCAACTGTTCACCAAACACAGCCTACCATTCAATTACTTTTATCGACTCTTGATTTTGTTGGCGCTCTCGATCTGATTTCTACTTCACAAGAAGTTGCTGCCCAAGAACTAAGTGGTGTTTATAGTTTTAGGTATTAATTTCTAAATTTATTAAATATTTATAATGTTTTATAATTATTTTTTTATGTAATTTATTAGACATCTTAAATTACAATTGGTTGAGATTGAGAAAGTTATTGATCAGATGATGAACGAAGAATTTATCAAATTTTTGACCCACGAATGGAATCGACCCTTTGATGATGAAAATGAAAGCAATCATTTGTTAGATGACGACAAACTATTATCTATAATCTATGGTATGGTTCGCTTACAGAAATTCAATTTCATTGATGCCTTTAGAGATGAGGCCAACACTGCCATCAAAGCTGTTGTTAAGCAAACAGTCATCGAAACGCTTTCATCTGAAGATAATATTGATGTCGGACAACAAATCGATGGCAGTCTATTTGATCAATTAAGACTTTTGGATTTTTCAAAATGGCTACAACTGTTCGACAAAGTGTTTGATAATCTATTGAAATGTCTTAGACGTATAAATGCAGTCTATCGGGTGATGTCCAATGGTTTAAGTGCCGTCACTGAACGTTCAATTAGTGAAAACAAAGCATTAGAATTGGCGACAAATGGCGGCGAAACATCCATTGACACGATTACCATCCTATTGGAGAACGACGGCATTGAGTTGGGCTCTAATCTGAAAGAGTCGTTGTGTACTATCTGTGATTACGCGCACAGCCGGTGCGCTAACGTTGTCGACTCCCGAGCCAAAGATGGCGGACTCGACAAACTGACTGCCAATGAATTTGTTCGACTTATTAAATCAATTGAAGAGTTTAGTGATAGTTGTCAGCAAATATGTGGCCGAAAAAGTCCTAATCTTAAACTAGTTTTACAAACTCAGGCCAATAAGTTTGTGACGAAATTTCATGAGGAAAGAAAAAAACGGATCAACTCTTTGCTTGACATCGAACAATGGAAATCAGTAGACTTTGTTAGCTATGAATTTCAACAACTAGTCAATCAATTGATTGATAATAATTATAATTTTTATGAAAACAATCGATCACTTTATGATAATAATCAAAAACTTAAGTCACATGTCTTAGTTAAAGACGAAAAGTTTGTTGTTGTGAACGTTGCCATTGTTTTTATAAAGACACTCATCGAGTACTGTGAGTGCGCCCAACAAATCAAATCATTGAGTCCCGACCTATTGACCCGACTATTGGATATTTTAAAACTATTTAATTCAAGAACTGCTCAATTAGTTTTAGGTGCCGGTGCTCTACAAGTTGCCGGTTTGAAGACAATAACGGCGCGAAAGCTTATCATATCATCGCGTTGTCTACAACTGGTCATTGTTTTTATACCAATTATTAGGAGACATTTTGAGACACTATTATCGACTAAACATCAATCAATGTGCAACCATTTTGACGAAATCATTCGCTTATATAACGAACATATCACTAAAATTCCCGAAAAAGTGGTTTCTGTGGTCCGAGAGATTGCAGACACACAGCTTTCCAAATGGGTGGCCAAAGCTCCCGTTCCGTCGCCTCCGTTTCAGGCCATTTCTCAACACTTAATGCGATTGCATGACAACATTCAGGACTCACTTCCAACCAACGAATTGACTCAACTGTTCCAACAAATCCATAACACTGTCAAAGATGTGCTCAAACATCACTTGGAAAGACTTAACATTCAGAAAAACGGTGGACTAAAACATGGGTTAGTATTATATAATTGTTTTGTTATATTCATAATAATAATAATAATAATAATAATAAACATTTATAATAGACTTGTCACACAAGAGTTGACGTTTTATACACAAAATTTGAGTAAACTATCGATTGGTAAACAACTAAACCTTTCAAATGACGATCTCTGGAGTAAATTAAAGATTATATCAAACAATGTTAACTAAATTTTTAAGTATAATTTATTTTTAAAAATTGAATTATTTATATTAAGTATCACTTTGTGCAAAAAAAAGAGTTTTATGCAAAATTCTTATTTAAATGTTTTATTTATAAATATTTTTGATCTTTAATATGTATATGAGAGTTGTTTAAATAAATAAATTTTTAAAAAATTAATATATACATGTATATAATATCTGAATTTTTAACATTTTAAAAATAATTTGCATTTATGTTTAAATAATAAAACCTAGATATAAATTAAACCAGTATTTAATTTAATTGCTATATACAATATAATTATTTAAAAAAATATCATAAATTAACCGGGATATTACCCTTTTACTTAAAATATGATATAAATTTTCTAACAAAAAACAAGTCGATATAATTTACGAGTTTTTTAAAAAAATAATAATAATCTATTGGAAGAAATAATTCATTGTAATTATGAATCCAATAATATTATATTAAAGTTGTTTTATATTAAATATCTGCTATAAATCTGCTTAACTTTAATTACGATGATGAAAAAAACTAGAAAATCGTGTCAGGCAACTATTTTGATTGTATGAATTATCATGGTAGTAAATTATACACATATAATACATACATCAGTGTATATACCAATTAATAGATATGATATTCTGTGAATTATAAGTTGAATATAATGTTTAAAAAAATTCTTGTAATTCACTCTTGCGATTCAAAAGTGTTGTTGATATCCTTGAAAAACTGGTTACCCTTCACTCTGTATACACCATAACCCTTAATACACATAAACCTGGATATTATTATTATTAGTGTTGTTGTTGTTATTATTTTTATAAAAAATATAGTGTAGTTCATATTATTCCTATTGTTCAATTTTTTTTTAGTATAAACTTCATAATTTAGTTTAACATTAGCAACAAAAATTTTTTTGTGTTGTTATACCTGAGTATGCTTTTTGACATTGAGTTAACTTTGAAAATATAATATATCATATCATAGATGTGTTTAATGTATTTYATTCATTCAAATTATAATTAAGTTGTTGTTGTTATTATTGCAAGACAACAAAATATTRCAATTAAATYGATAATTTACATATTTAACATAATAATAATGTTTGCAATTTTGCTAAAGTGATCATTATATACTGTATAAATATATACAGGTATATTATATACTGTATACTGTGTATTAATAATAGCATTTATCAATATAACCAAGATAAGGTTGTGCACCCCTTTTTACATTAACATCGAAAATACATTTTTAAAACATTTTTTCTCATATTTTATTGCCCAGTAGCCCATAATTACAGTAAATTCATATAAAAACTAGGCTATTAACACTTAACTATCCCATATATTGCATAATAATAACAATGATAATAATAATATATAATACCTGTAATAATGCTTAAAAATGTATTTTACTATTAATAGTTCACAAATGTGATAGCTTGATCATACATAAAAAGGTAATTTAAAAAAATCTTAAAACAGACTAAACTTATTTTGAAATAACATTTTAAATATTAAAAGAGTTTATTAAAAATAATTTATTTTTTTGAAAATATTAAAAAGTTTTCCCATCAAATATTATATTATTTTCTATTATTTTTGCATTAAAATGAATTTTATTGACATACATGTTGTGTTTATAGTAATTATTGATTTAACATTTTTGTTCACAAACACATAAAAAACAATTGTGACCTCAAACTAAAATCATTTAAATTGGCAAAAAACTAAAAAAGTTGTAAATTTAAATAAATATATTTTTTCTATATACATAAAATTATTTGAATCTAATATACAATATTTGAATTATTGAATTTAAAATTTATTATTTGCTGTTTTTGAAAATATTAATAAATTACACAATTTTTCACATAATCTATCAAAATAATAATTTTACAGTATATATCAATATATTATATACTGTATTTATATTACAAAATATAATATTTAAATAATATTTAAATTTTATTGTCATTTTTATGAGTTTACAGTATTTTTCTGATAAATCTTGTGATAAACTCATTACACGGGGTTATCATCTCACACCCACCCATAGAAACACACAATACTTAATGTAAAAAACTTAAAGTTATATAAATTTATATTATAGTATTTATAACTATTTTATTTGATAATTTATATTTACAATATTACAAATTACCCAAAAAAAAACTCACACAAGTGGGTGTCATTAATAGTTAAAAATTGAAATAAAAATTGCCTTAGAATAAAAATCAATTAAAATTTTTAGATTAATATATTATATATAGTTTATATACTTTATTTTTAAGTTAGTTGTGCTACAAAAAAAAATTTGAAAATAATTTTTTTTAATTAATTTCTTATTTTTACTTTTTTTTGTTTCACATGTAATTTTTCCTAATTTCCAAAAAACATGTATAATTCACGTATAATATGGTATTTTTCAATATTATAAATCAAAAATTTTCAATAATAACAATTAATAACCTGTTTACAGAAATTAATTTTCCCATAACCAGACACACACACACATAAACACACACAAATACATACTGTATTATACATACATACATATTTTACATACATGCACACAAAATTAAATAAATAAAACAATTATTTTTTAAAGTGTCGGTTATTTACATCAGAGACCTTATTAGAAAAAATTTGTGTTTAATTTAGTATAACTCATAAGGAAGTCGTTTAATCAACAAAATTAAAAGGAAAAAGTTTTTCAATTATTATTATTGTTATGGAAAATGTCTAATAAAGGAAAGTTTACAATGAGTTTACATGCAATCAAACAGTAAGTGTAACTTACATTTGAAGAGTGAGTACAAGTAGTGCTCCAAATAATAATTTATTATAACATTTTTCTCATACATACATAAACCATAATTGATTTATATATAAGTTATATTATTAAGTTATATATATTTATTTTTAAAATTTTAATCTTAATATTTATAGAGAGAAATTAGTTTTTTTTTGAAGTAATTGCTATCCAACACAATAAATAATACAAGTAACATAATAATAATAATAATAATAATAATAATACATTACTACAAAAATACTATTATTATAATTGTAGGCTTTATAATAAATAAAAATAATATTTTTGCCTAAAAAACTTAATATTATACAAAACACTGTAATTTAATGAAAGTTTTTTTTCATTAACTATATTGTAATATAGAAAATTACAACAACACCAACAATAAAATGAACAATATATAAGTTTAGCCTATTTTTTGTTTATGACATACAATGATAATTCATTATTTTTGTTTTGTTATTATAAATGAAAAAATAGATTTTGCTGATTGTAATACTGTTAGACTTAATGACTAATAAAAACATAAAAATGTTTTTAGTTTTTTTTCTTGATATTTAAATCAAATCATTTCATAATATTATATTATATTATTTGTCGACATTAACCTCAAAAAAATTGAAAGAGATTATTATTATTATTATTATTTTATTTTATTAAATTATATTTTCTCAACAGATAATGAAGATATTAAATTACATTATTTTTTAAATACTGTATGATAGGTAATGAAAACTATTTAGGCAAAAGTAAATTACCGACTCGTGAGTTAACAGATAAATAAATATATTTGTGGTTTCTATTATTAACTGTAGATTTTTTAATGTGAAAATTTGCAATAAATTGGCGTAAAAAAAGTACATAAAAAATATATTATGGGAGAAAAACAATTGTTGGCGACAAACATATATTGTATATATAGATATATAAATCGATAATCAAGTTTGTGATGTATAGTTAAAACAGATATTGTATAACATTTTTAATATACAGTACTGTCTGTCTATGTGAAAGGGCTGAGCTGTATATATTGATATATTAATATTAGTTTATACATCTATATATATATATATATATATATATCTTTATGAAGCTCTTAAACCTGTATATTATGTGTTAATGTTATCCTTGAACCACAAAACAAGAGTTTAGTTGTTTTTATTTTGATGCCGAAGACAAAGGATTTAATTGATATGAAAATCTGATTGTGATTTGTGAAGGACATGACAGAGACTGAGTCGATGATAGAGTAGTGAATCACTGATTAAATTTACACATTTTATGTTATGTTTTTTTGGCGTTAGTTTTCATTAATATCATATGAATTCTGACCGAAAGCTTCATAAATGTTAAACAATACACATATTTTTTTTATTGTAGTAATAATTTTTTAGTTACTATAGAAACATTTTTTTCTCTTTTGCTGTACGTATACATGTATATGATATTTGCAGAGCTTTTAATAATATTAATATTGAATATGTATTGAAACATTAAATTCAGTATAACGTCAGGTGAGATCACACCCAACACGACCAACGAGAACATGGATATAAACACAATGGTTCACAATATTCATAGTGATATTATAGCACAGGGATATAATATTAGTGATAGCAACTCATGAAAAACATAGTCACTATTAATAACTATTAATAGATTTATATGTTTTTATTTGCATTCAATTCAATAGATTTCATGTTTATTTATTCTGGTGTAAAATTGGTGTATAAATTATTGTTGTGTTTGAATTAGTAAATTGCAAGTGAAAAACACAGAATCTATACCATAATACACCTGTCCTCTGTTGTCATACTGTTCCCTCTATTGTTGTTAATCTAGTGTCCCATCCGATGCTAATGAACGACCTATAAGTGCGATATCATATTGTTTGTCAATAAAATATTCAACAAATATTTTTAGCTACTATTATATTATAAAAAGTATATTAAAATATATTAAAATATATTTTTTAAATAATCATTTGCTTGTCTTTCAATGTAATTATGAATACATAATATATTCAGTGATATTTTGAGATACAATGTATTAAACAATAAATATATGTATAAACAAAATATTAAAATTATCAAAGAGCTGTTGTGTGTGCTTATAAAAAGTTTAATAGTTATAAAAATATTACGGTATATATAAATATTATTATTAAAAAAATGTTTTTTTTGTGATGTCTATGAATGCATCAAATTTATTAAATAAATATTTATAATATATGCAAATCATAATCATTAGTACTGGACTGGACTCAAGTGTGAAGCAATTGTTTAAAAAAGTTATTGTATTTTTTTCGGGACACAAATTAAATGACTGAATAATAGCTTCAATATATAAATATATATTTATATTATATATTATACGATATATGTATTTAACATTCACTTCCTTTATGCTAATCATACGATTAAACGATTGTTTGACTGCCTGTGTATCTCATGTGTGAATCGCTGTACAAAAATACAGTACTAATAAGTTTTTGGTCTAATGTTTTAAATGTTGTGTGTATTTTAAAAAGTCAAAAGTTGTCTCTCATTTATTTTTTTGGCAAAAGCTTTATATTATATCTTCAATGGTTTACAATAGTTATAATAATAATGATAATAATAATAATTATATATTAGTGAATATTTTGGGTCAAATGTGTTAAAGTAAGCTTCAATTGTGAAACAGTGTTGATTCAGTTAGCAATTGTAGCACTTTATGCCACTTATACTGAATTTTACTGAATATATCGTACAGTATATTTCAGTGCAGTTGTGGGCCAATAACCTGTACCCACTGTTTGTCAGACTTGCGATAGGCTTATATATACCTGAGAGAGCCTATACTAGTGCTGACTGACCCGAACTAGCGATGCATTACATCACTGGTAGGGTTGCCTACAGTTCCATATATTAAAGACAACATAACACAACTACCACTTCTTGATTAATGCTAACCTGAATCGCATGACTTTGAAACTGAAATTCATTCAACTAATGAATACTAGTATTGCATTTATATTGCACTATATGTTTGTTATATATATTTACAATATATATATTATTTGTTTTTATAGTGTGTGAGTGTGTATATGTATGTGTGTGTGTGTGTATGTGTAGCCTATCGGTAAAATTGACGGACTAAAGTAGGTCGCTGTGACTTATTATTTAACAAATCATAATAATGTATGAGATTATGATCAACAATACATATTTTAATAGTTTTATAACTTTTTTCATATTATTAGTGATGTATCACTCATATTATTATTATTATTAGTTGTCGTCCTATTATTATTTATTATTATTTTTCAATCATAATATTTAAATCATTACATTATTTTCATATGTATTCTACCAAAAGCTGTTGTTATAATAATAACCAATATGTGTGCGAAAAAACACAGGAAATACCTGTAAAAAAACTTTGAAACAAAAAAACATGAGTAACGATAATATGGACAGAGACGACACATATGTCGCACAGTTATATCAAGTGTTCAAATCTTGTGATATCTATGGCACCGGACTTCTCGGTGAAGATGAACTGTTCAATCTGTGTATGCGATTACAGTTAGACGATAGACAAACCAATTATATAATAACTAATTTGATTGGTAATGATATCATTGCAAAAGTAAGTACAGTATTACAATAATATTACAGTATAATTATTATAACATTTGCCAAAATCAAACATTTTTWAAAAAATCTGTATAATTGTTATCAATATAAATGCCTTTTAATTATTGGATTCCGTGTTTTTATTAGTAATGATTGGGATTCAAACTTTTTATTTTAAGTTGCAATTTAATGATACTATAGTTAGAAAAAAGCTTTCCAATAAAAAAGTTAATAAATAATTATAGCTTTTGATGTCTATAATAGTTTAATTAAACCGATTTATGCAATTAAAATAATGTTTGATGCAATTATTAGTAGAGTTTATATCATATATATATATAGATAATATGGTAAATACTAAAATGTAATATTCTTATACTATATATATAAAAAATAATTATGTCTTTATAAAATATTTATGCATAAATAATATTTTTTAATGTTAAAGTAACACGATTAATTTTTTATTTATCTAAATAATACTGCTATTTAAAAACAATTTTGTTTCAATAACATTTGACATTATCTATTAAACTGCCAAAATTATTACTGAAAATAAATAAAATTGCACCAATGAGTTATTTTTAATTTATTGATTATATTTATTATTAATTTATTATTTTTGTTAATTTTGTAAATTATAGCGTTAAGTTTTATGTGTGTATATTTATAAAAAATATTTTTTATTAATTATTGAATTAAAGAAAAATATAAGATTTTCCCAATAGATTTATAATAAATAACTTTTTTATTATTTAATATTTTTTATATTTTAGTGGTAAAGAAAATTTTATTTAATTAAAATATAAATGAATTCAATTTTGAAACCGAGTTTTGTAACTCATTGGTGTGTTTCACGACTTAATTAAATTTTGTCTTTAATAATAATAATAATAATTTGTTTTTTACAAAAACATTTATTTTTAGATTATTGGGTCGATTATAGTCTTATTTTAGAAATTAATTACTTACCATATTATTCATGAAATTAATATTTAATTATATTATTTATTTAATTATATATTTTGATTTATATATTTTGAAATATTGTCAAATTTTGATTTATATATTGGAAAAAATCTTTCATAAATGTAATTATTTATTTTTTTCTTATTATTAAAAACAAAATTTCAGATTAATTTTGATGATTTCAAGGAAGCTTTTGTATTACTTTTGACACAAAATCATCACCAGCAACAGCAACAACAACAACAACAACAACAACAACAACAACAAAATAATTATGAAAACAATTATGAAGATCAGTATCGACTCGTTGAATGCAATGACAATACTATGAATACTCTCTCAAATGTTTCCTATGATAGCAATATTTATGAAAAAAATAAATCAAATCATATGAATAATAATGATAACAACAATACCATCAATGCTAACAACAACATCAACAACAGTGATGTTAATATTATTAATAATATAAGTAATAATTATAGCAATGATTTAGATATGAATACCGAAGAGTATTTGCGAAGCATTTGGGAGGGTTTGGGTGTCGGCGGTAACGGCTATTTAAATATCGATGATTTGTATAGAGTGTGTGAACACATAGGTATGATTGGCATCAATAATGACATAATTGAACAGTTGTTTGACAAATTGGACTCCGATGGGGACGGGAGGGTCAGCTTTGATGAGTTTCTCGATGGACTGTTTCGACACGACAACAACACTATCTGTGATAATGACAATTATGACGACCAACAGCAACATCAGCACAGTGTCAATGGTGTCGATGAAGTTAGTTTAGCACAACAATTACCGGACCAATCGACTACTCATATTACCGGTAGTGACGATACTGTTAATCAAATCTCTAGTCGACCGCAATGTCATCATTTAAACGACTTGGAGGTCAACAGTCACGAGACAAACAATAATTTGTTAGCCGACAGTAAGTCGACTTTCTATGAAAATGTTTCGTCATCATACCTGTCCACTCTTGATCCAGACAAGACTGGGTAAGTCATAATCAAATAAATTACATTTTTGTTTTTTTGAGAAAATTTATTTTTATTTATTATATATATATTTATAATTTATTGCTTTAAATTGTATTTTACACTCTGTTTTTTCAACACTACTATACATCATGAGTTGAAGTATTGATATATAAACTTATTTGTTTTTTTTTATAAATTGAGGAACTGTTGAAAAAATTGTTATTTTTGTGTGTCATTTATCATAGAAAAAGCGTTTACAAAAAAAGAAAGAAAGAAGTGAAACAAATATTAATACTGAAAAACTAGTATTAATAATGTTGTTGTTTTGTATGTCATTTAAATATATCAATATACAGTACAAGTATCAATCGCTTGGACAGTCTCTTTGCTAGTATTAATAGTACAAACCCTTGGTGTAAATGCACTAAATATACTATTAGTTAAATTTAGGTACAATAAATACTCATTACATAAGTGTAATAAAAGCATTTTTTAAAGACATGCGCATGTGTTGCCAAAACACATGTCATTTAATTTAATAACATACGCGACAGCGAAAAGTATGCAACGATGTCGTTGAAAACAATATCGATGATCAGCGATGATGAAGAAGAAGAATCGTATGAGACGCGCGTCCAGCGTAAGAATGTGACCAACAGTGGCAACAATTGCGTCAAAACTATCGCAAACAATGTTTGCTCGACGACAACTGCCCACACGATTATCACTAACGGCGAACACAAGTTTGCCGATAAAAATGTTGATAATAACGGTATTGTAAGTGACAAACAAATTAACGACCCGTTGAATACCGATGACAATACTGTTGACGAAGCCTTTGCCAATGGAAACGGTACTCATTTGTTGGCAAACATTACGAAAGTCGCCGATATCAACGACAATAATGATACCAATTCTATGTCAATGGATACGAACGGGTGGCCATCAGATGACAATATGACTGATAATGACCCGAACACTAATCTAATACTGAACGGTAGTACTGGAGATCAATTGACACCAATCGATGACAACAATTACGAAAATGAAGGCAAAGAAAATGAAGAGAAAGTTATGGACGAAGAAGTTGAAGAACAAGAAAACAACAACAACAATATTGTTGATGTGTCCACCAAAATACGTACCGACTTTACCGAGGTTATTTTGTTTTTATTATAATATAAGATATACATTTTGTTTATTTAATATTATTTTTGTTTGTTTGTGATATTGGTTGATAACACAGGTTGAGGATAAGATAGTTGTCTATCTATACACAAAAGTACATAAGCGTAGAATTATTGACATTAAATACTTCAACGATGCCCTCCAAGTCCGCTATAAGGGCCAAGAATTTGATCCGATGGACATTACTAATGACACCGATGACAATGTTATATACAAGTGGCGCAAAATATTACAGTAAATAATTCCTTTATTTTAAAAATATTCAAATCATTTAATTTTATTTTTTGATTCATATTAGTGGCCAAATAGAGCCCGATTTATGTCATCATAAGGAGACAAAAGAAAGGATTGAGATAACAGTAATCAAAAAGGACAAGAAATTCAAATGGAATGCATTCGAACGTACGGTTAATTTTCCGTTTAGCCAGACAAACGTAAATCAATACAGTCCGGTGTATTGGTCACAAAACAAGTATTTGTTGCCAACCATTACGAAGGTCGCCGACATCAACGACAATGATACCAATTCGATGTCAATGAATACGATTAAGTGGCCAACAGAGGCCAATGAGACCGCGCTGTCGCTAAACAACGCTCGATCATCACTGCAAACACTGTCACATATATGGGAGACCAATCAGTCATCAAAGCCATCAATACATGTATCCTCTTCTCGAAGTGTGTCTACGTAAATCTAAGTGCCCAACGAGTAAAGCATCGGTGCCACGGCTATCATATCTTCCGTATTAGTGGTCAACAAAGTCATAAATACATTTGGATTCGTTAGGATAACACCCGAATCAATGAATAGGACATATTGTGACCAATTTTGTCGGGCCGTCTTCATTGCCAATGTCTTCAATTGGACTAATAGTTTAAAACGACTAGTAGTCCAATATCTATAGCCATCGACTTCGGGTAACACTTCTTCATCAATGGATTGATAATGTCGTCCCAATACTAACTCTATGTCACTATAATGTCGTCGGTTGTGATGAATCCATTTCTTCAGCATATCGATTATCAACTGATTCATATCAATCATGTCTTCAGTAATTTTATCGGACGACGACAACTCCAGCAACTGTTCCGTTGCAATCCATAGTTTGATCCGATGTTTCGGATATAATTGGTATTCAATTGATCCCAATTTGCTTTATTAAACGGATGAACTAATAAAACCAATTGAATGGTTGGCAACAATCGGTTGTCTTCACCAAAATCATTGTCATCATTATCACCATCGATGGCCACCAAACAACTTATATCATTGAATTTAATTAATAATAATAATAATATAATTGACAATAATTTTCTCACAAATAACATTGTTATTCAAATTCAATTTTTATTTTAATTAAACAAATAAATAAATAATTTTTTAATTGTAATTGTTTGTTATGTAAACAAAAACAAAACAAAATTTCTATCCATTTCTATATCAGTAAATAAAAAATATATAATTATGTTTTATTGCTATTTATTTTTAATGTGTTATACTGTACTATAACACTAGGTCCTTGGTGTTGCACAACTGTCCAAGTGATTGATACTTGTACTCTAAGAATTGTATATATACTGAATATACTGTATATAAAAAAAGAAATTAAGTCTAATATAATGAGTGTTTGTGTTTTATTATACAATAAATGAAAATATATGTGTATATCAATATACAGGTATATATATATATATATATATATATATATATATATATATAATATGAATATCTCGAAATTAATGATAAATAAATATACTGTATATACAGTATATATATATTATTTATTTATAGACAACGAATGCTTGTAATGACTAGAAAAGCAAATTTATTTATTTATTATTTTTTGTTTTGTTTTATTCATACAATGTTTTAATAACGTATTGAAAGTTTGAACAAACTGAAGATATTACTAGTCTTTTATCATTTTTATTATTATTATTATTACTTTTTATTAAAACGATAGTTAATTGTGAATAACGTTATGATGCAGTGATGCGAGTATTTTATTTGTGTGTTTTGTTGTGTTTACATAACATCTTCAAACAAATTCGTTATATATTTTTTCATTAATTTCAAAGACTATAACATCAAAAAAATGTTTTTGTTTTTATCGATATATATATATATATATATATTCTTCAGATCCATGAGTTAGTTATGTCTTGCTATGTATTACTTGTACTTATAGTTTACTATAATTTATATACACATATTGTATATATATATATATATATATTGAGCATAGTTTGCAAATATAGTTGACTCCAATTGGTATTTCATTGATTGATTGATACAATTGATTAATCTTATATATAAATCCCTATTACACTAACAACAACGCGCCGCACGGTTTATCCAAAGGGGTCGACCATTTGGATGAAAAAACCAGTAGTAAATGAGCATTAATAGTATACCGCAACCAAATGCTCCCAAAACTGTAACCAAGGCTGACATATGATACCACTTTATCGGATCACTTCTTATATACCATAAGATTATGAACGATAGATTCTCACTGAACACTATTATGTAAAACGATAGATATTTATATCTTGTGGGCTCATCCTTGACGTTGATGAAACAGAACAGATAGATGGCACCGATCATCATATTAAACATATACTCAAAGCATGGTCTCGGGTCACCCCTTTCACTGTCACAGAAACGTGTTTGTTGGTGCATAACCCAGATTGTCATAATACCCCAGTGGCCGATAGCCACTGGACACACCCAATAGCTGTATTCACTGATGAATAGCGCCACCGCTAAAACCCTGGATCCGATTGTACAAAAACGCCACAAGAATTGCACTATTGTTGCCATTCGTGACATATTTAGTTTGTCATTTGAAACCCTTCTCAGAGCTCTATTATATTGTGCTAAAGACCAGCTCATCGACAACAACGATGTTATTATAGCTGACATTTGGACGTATTCTGAGATTAAAATTTATTATAACATTAATTAATAATTTTTTTCATTTAAACTACATTACAATGATTAATATAAAGCAATAACTTATAAACCGAATATAAATATGTTTTCATAATTTTTATGATATTCACACAAAAATAAAATAAATGAATTACTTTATTTGTGATTCAAAAATAACCTAAATTTTATTAAATAATATATACAGTATATATATATATAGAATAAAACAATATTTTGAAAAATCTTTTATTATTAACACTATTATTAGTGAACAAAGAGATGGTTCACAGATAATAGTGAGTTCAGATGTGATGAAAATATATTTGATGGCAAATCTGTTTCACTTTGATTTTAAAATATATATACATATAAATTATATATTATAAGCAATCATATATTGTCTCATTTGAATTTATGGCTCATTAAACTACTGAACAATATATGTATTTATTCATTAAGAAATATATACTGTATATAAATTTATAAATGAATAGTAGACTCATATATTAAATAAAAATATTGTTAGTTATGAAATTAAACTATCGCTCAAATAAATGGTACCCAACTTACAAATAAAAAGGGCTTGAATTTTGTTAAAAATATGAACTCTTTTTATTTTTATATAACTGAGACTCAATCTGGCAAAAGGAGAGCGTTTTGAAAAATGATATCAATTTATAATACGATTATATGATATATATATATATATATATATATATGAGTGTAAGGGAGAGAAAAAAATATAAAGGCATAGATTGAGATTTAGTTTACACTTTAAAGACTCAAAAAATTTCATACAATAGGATCTTATTTTTATATAACATTAGCGTTATTATAATATTACATCAGTGTTTAAAAAAAATATATATAGTTAATATGTTTTTTGAGTATAGAATATTCTTTGAATTTTTATAAAAAATATATTATTCTATAATTTTTAGACTTGAATTTGATATATAATAGTTTATGCAAACATTTTATGTAAATTAAATTTATAAATAATATATATATATATACCTTTAGATATATTAAAATTGTGCTGAGATTTGTTTAATAAATACAATTGAAGGACCATTTGTGGAGCGCATTGAAGAAAACATCTGAGAAGCGATAGAAGTGCTGTATCCCTGTCCTCGTGAACTGACAACAGATAGTAATCGATTTGTGGTTCATTTGTTGCCTTAAAACACAATTAAAAACCATCCGTTAAATAATCTTTAAAACTAATTGAATTTGACTGACACATGTGTTCAGACTTTGAAATAGACATCCAGACCACATATACAGACACACCAGATATCATACCTGAGCCTGACTTTGCATGTGATTAGTCCTTTGAAGGGTCGATAGTGTATTCATTTGCCAATCTCTTTGTTGCTCTTCCTTCTCATTTCGTTTTTTCTGTGATCTACTCTCTAATCCATACCACAGAAGCTCCAGATATCTGTTTTTATAAAGAATAAGATGAAGAGAGAAATAAAAAAAATAAAGGCATTCAATAAAATTGATACGATTTATATATATATCATCCCAAAGAAGAAAGGCTAACAAATTGGTTTGAATTCGCGCTTTATTTTTCTTTATTTGTCTCTATTTATTACACTTTTATTTTTATGGATCAATGCCTTAGATTTATTACACAAATAAAGGCATCCGATGTCCATCTCATGACTCTATTAAACACAATCTCTTTTTCAGATATTTTTTTATATCAACAAAATATCTGACATTTCTATTTGAACCCATATATACAATATATATATCAATATATACTGTATATGATATTTTAAAATTTTTATAGTTTTTGTTTTTTAATTTTATATAATGTTTTAAAACAAATGAGAGAAAGAGACAAGAGATATAAATTTATGCTTTGTTTTGTTTTGTTTGTTTAATTTAATTTTGAAAAATTTTCTACAGAAAAGAGAATATTTATTTGTATTGATTTTTCTCGACTTTTTTTTGTGAAACACTATCTCAAAAGAAACCAAAAATTGATATCAAAAATAAAAGCACAAGAAAAAGAGAGAAAGAAAAAATATAGTGGAAATTATATCGATAAAAATGTTAAAAATTTAAGTTAACTTCAATTAATTTGATAGAAAGTAATAATATACAATATATATATATATATATATATAAGAAAAAACATTGTGAACTTAAAGAAATGTGTGTTTGAAAATAATATCAAACTTTTAAATTATATAAATCATAGCCATTAGTGAGTGTAAGTGAGTGTTTGTGTGTGTGTGTGTGTGTGTGTGTGAGAGAGAGAGAGAGAGAGAGAGAGAGAGAGAGAGAGAGAGGACTGGTATCTCAAATCTTATGGCCATTCATTACCAAGAATTGCACGAAATTCTAATTTTTTTTTTTTGAAAACCGATTCCAATGTAAGCCTCAAAACGATACGATGTCTCGAGAAAAACATTTTTTTTTTTTGGATATAAAATGAAGAGATTTATTATAAGTTGCTATGAATTTAAACAGTGGTGGCAAAGGAATTGCTGAGTGAGAAGAAGTCCTTTATTGGCCTAACTATAGGCAGAAATAGGATTAACAAAAATTGGTGGAAAAAAGTGTGCAAAAGAAATAATGGTGAATAAAGAAGACTATTGTGTGAGCATTGATGCCTATAATAGCCATGTATTCACAATGTTAGGGAACCGTTTGATTTCCCCGAGGATTGACTCACAGATAGTCGTATAAAAGATCTGACTTTTTCACTATTTATCGGAAACTTTTGCTGTAATATTAAATCACAGGTATTTTGTTTTGATTAGACAAACGAACAAAATTGTAAAAAATTTTGTGGAAATTTTAACCCAAAAATTACGAATTTCTGGTATTGTTAACAAATCCAATGTACACACAAACTGGTAAATCCAATGACCATTTAATAGTGAAAAAACAGTTGTTATCAAAAACCTAAGAACCAACGGTTCCAACAATTTCCAGACATTTTAAATATAAATAATTCTATTATAATATAAAAATATATAAAAAGAGATTTTCAAGAGTTGTTGATAATAGCGAAATCAACTCTTATTATATCATATGATATCAATCTCTACACAAATAAAAATCTTATATATTATATAACGTTAATCTATTTTGTTCGTTGAAATCTATTTGTATTGATAAAAACTAAATTAAATTAAAAATAAATTTATATTATATACAGTATATACAATATTTTATCAAGTAAATTTTAAAACAAACTTTAATTATATTTATTTGTTTATTTCACAACGTCGTATAATATTTTAATTAAATCCAATTATTTAAAAGATTATAATTGTTTACAAAAGGAAGTTTCCGTATTTCAGAAATTACAAATATAAAATACTTGATATCAGTATTTAACAATATATTTATTTTTCATCCACAAAATAAAATAATTCAATGCATATTCTGTCTAATCAAATACAATATATTCAAATTGTATAAATATATTTAAAATTATTTAAATATATTCATTGGAATATATGAGGATTGTATTGAAACAGAAAATTTGATTTTCAGATATAAAAAATCAGTCAATCATTTGTTTGAYTATTATTCGACACAATTGCTTAAACATTGAATACTGAAATTTGGTGATCAATGGCTGTGAATGTCATTGAAATAGTGTCTTAATTTTTTCAAAAGCGCATGAATTGTCATCATTTTTAGACGTCATATGGATGGCACCCATAAGTGCTGTCTGTTATATTGTTTATCATTGCTGTTGTTGTTGTTGTTGGTCATAGGCTTTACATTTTGGGAATCAATTTCTCAAATTAGAGTATTGTTGGAAATGTAAGAGTGAGAGGAATACTGAACAGAATTAGAGAAATGGGTAAAGCATTTCAATTTTGCACTCATATTGTTATTGTATATACTATTAGTACATAAACTTAATGGGCAAACACTGACTAACAATTTGGACACACTTTTTGATAAGACATTTGGATTGTAGTTATTGTTGTGTTGAACAATATATTGGATTCACTAACTATACGAAAAAAATACTAAAATTACTCAACTTTTATATTGTTTGTGTTTTTGGATTTGCTTTTTAGTTATTATTACAAATTTTATTATACAGTATTAAACAAAAAATATTAGTTTATATAAATGAACAAATTATATTAACAATTTTTGACATACTTTCAATTACTCTTTGTCTATTTGACTCTCTCTCTCTCTCTCTCTCTCTCTCTCTCTCATCTGTCAAATATAATAATTGATATAACAATGACAAATACATTGACACAGTTTTATGGTTTTATTTGTTGGGCGTCTGTATTTATACTGGGAAACCTATCGGACATATTATATTTGAAAACTCATTTTTCAAATAAATATCACATATATTTTGTTTGTTTTTATTAAATATCCTGATTATTAACGATCGCTAAATTTATTTTTTAAAAATCAACAAATTTGTGTATAATTTGCATTTTAAAAATAAGTTGAATACATTTAAATAATAAAATAAATTTATATTAATAGTATTCAACGTAACGTTCATTTATCACCTAAAACTGTCAATAAATAGTCCGATAAATGAATGCTAACTCTATTGCTTTACTACAAAGTTATTTATAAATATATAGATAAAAACCGCAAATTGAAAAACTTTTAAAATGATATAAAATAGTTGTTTTCTTTGCTTATTTTGTCTCAAAATAATAATAAAAAAAATCTTTACACACAATGACATCATAGAAGGGATAAAAATGAAGTTAAATAATGCAGTGAAGAGTCTGAACACAGAATTTTCCGGCGATCGAGCAGTTAGTCTGTTATATGACATTACAGTTCAATAATAGTAGTTTACTGTACTGTGTTTATACCGTTCCCCCTAAACTACATTTTCCAACATTAGTATAGTATATACTGTATATACACTTATATCCAGAATATAAGACAGCCTTTACTTAATAGTGTACTCGACTTCACTCTGTTTTCGACTATTTCTCTCTCTCTCTCTCTCTCTCTCTCTCTTCCCTAACTCTCTGCTGTTTATTTAAACCATTATTTTCTCTAATATCGATTCCCTAAAACTGATATCAATATTTCGATCCATAAGACTGCAAGAGTTGATTCAATCATTGCCTAACAATATAATACTTAACTGTTGTGTGCACTCGACAGCCATTTGATTGATATAAGAAGTGTACAAAAGAAATGTATATTCAAAGTAATAATACTCAAACATATACTAAACTATATATATATATATATATATATATAACTTACATTCAGTATATATGATTGTGAACTATATATTTTTTGCTATGTTTATAACTTTACACCAATTTAGTAGTTATATCAATACAACCAAACAGTTATATAAATTTATATAATATATATATATATATATATATATATCTTATATACAATTATATTAATTTACTAATACTCGCATCCATTGTATTTGTCATAATATAAGAAAAAATAGAAATAAATATCTCCTATTCATTATTATATAACTGTTATTATTTTTTTTATTGTTGTTCCCAGAAAAACACTTAAAAAAGTTTAACCTCTTTTACAAGTTTTTATGTATAATATTATTATCACTTAGTATTACTTAATAGACACTAATAGCCAAAAATATAGTGTGAGAATTGCATATATTTAACTCATATAATTGACATAAAGTCGTCTATATTAAAAAAATTGAAGCCAATTTATATACTGTACTACATGAGTGAATTAAAAAAATAAATGTTGAAAATAATTACCTGAGAACTGGTCCTAACAGTAATAAATGCAGTAAAACCTTAACGATCCAACCGATGACACTTATAAGGGGCCGACGTATCGATTCAATACTACTCTTTTCCTTACGATAATCATGTATTAGCCTAAAGGCAAATGAAAATAATAATAAAAAATAAAAAAATTATTTAAATGCTTTTGAGATAATTTTGCCGAATCTATGTATATGTAAATAAACTAGATACATTTGAATAATTAAGGCTTACACCAACAAAAAAATAAGCATATATATGAATATTTAATTAAATTAGAAATTACAGTTACTTTTTCCGTATGTATAAAACAGTATGAAAATTAGGTCTGTGCTCTAATACACTCGATTGTCGTATCAATATATACAGAATAGTACTGTTACTATACATACATTATCTATTGTATATTATAGTCTACTTTAGATAATAAAAAAATAGAAAAAATATTTATTTACC